TGAAATGGTATATGTTCACTCATATCTCACTGACCAGAGTTAAGTGGCATGGTCGTATTTAGCTTCAAGGGGGAGGAGTATAATCATACCATATTCATGGATGAAGACAAAGCACAGTCTTGGTGAGTATCCAGTTGGCTACCACAGCAGGGTTGATCATCCCACATGGTGGGCCTGGTAGAAGTTCACATACATAAGAAAATGCTAGAGCGAAGTGAACATTATTTGGGAAAAAAAATTGTGTCAGTGGATTTATGAAAAAAATAGGTGAGTCTTTTATCATTTAAAAAAGTCTATAAATTCGTAATTTAAAAATTGGAGATTTATGCAAATTTTAACCATAGTAGTAATAACCCTTTTTTCTGTTACTTGTTGTCATTGTATTACCTTCCTGAATGAGTCTTTATGGGAACATGTGCTCACAAGTGACTCTTAAGTGAAGGTGTAGTATTGAGCTTGGTATTGAGCCTGTATCTTTATGAAACAGGACACCTGCCAGGCGCGGTGGCTCATGTCTATAATCCTAGCACTTTGAGAAGCCAAGGAGGGCGCTTCACTTGAGCCCAGGAGTGCAAGACCAGCCTGAAGAACATAGAGACCTCATCTCCACAAAACAGTCAGCCGGGTATGATGGTGTGTACCTGTAGTCCCAGCTACTTGGGAGACTGAGGCAAAAGGATGTCCTGAGCTCAGGAATTCAAGGCTGTGGTGAGCTGTGATGGTGCCACACTACTGCAGGCTAGATGACAGAGTGAGACCCTGTTTCAAAAAACAAACAAACAAAAATACACACAGAAACAAAAACAACACCCAAAATCGCATACCATCCCAGGTTAAAAAGTGTTCTTCCAAGTCATGAAAACGCAGGTTGATGAGAGGCACTGGGTCAGTAATAAACTGTAATGTGGGCCTCTAATGAGCAGAAGTAGGCCTCACTTTAACAGGCCATTCCCACCTGTGTGGGAGGTCACCAGGATAGCAAAGATGCCAGCCAAGGTGCGCAGAATGCCCTTGTCTGCCCTGGGAGCCACCCACTCACCTTCCACTTTTCCTACTCTAAAGTGCCACATTCCAGCATTCAATGGGAGCTATTTAACAAGTGTGTTGTGTTGGATTTTTGACTGCTGCAGGTGCTGGCCTGTTTCCTCCCCAACTGTTGCCCTTGTGGGAGCTGCTCTGATTTTCCCTGCATCACATCTTGGAAATGATTGGGATTTTCGTGAAACTTGGAGATCCATGTTTCAGCCTATCTTCGACTGAAAACGATGCATGTGTACAAATGAGTGAAGCTTGTTTCGTGAGAGGATGTTAGTCTGTACAGATGAACCTTGAGCAGTGTCTTCTCAGCCAGTCATACATCTAGAGGCTGGGAGTTTGTTTTGATATTTTCCGGTATTCTCTTTTCACTGAGGAGAGAATCCCCGGAGTAGCATCCTACCGTCTCTTCTCCCCACCCCCACCTCTCTCCCTATTTCTTGTTCTCCACAAGGGTGGTCTGGGATCCTTTCAGTCCACCTGGAGGCTATGACCACAGTACCCTTCAAAGTATATATTGTAATCACCTCCCCTGTGACACCCAGCACAGTCTCATTTACATAATAAATCAAGAAATGTCTGATATTTACAGAGGAAGTATTACATTATAGAGGCTTTCTGCCATTGTTTTAAAACTTATGGGAAAATATAGAAATGTAAACCAAATATCTTTGCCCTCTGCTAGGATATTGTCCTATTTTTTTTCTCCAATATGTTCTTGTTTCTTCTCCCAGATGAACCTTTGAGTTCCAAATATGCATCAAGTCTTTTTTTCTCCTTTTAGCTACGAGTGCTGTTTCTGTCTGACTGAATAATCAGGCTTCCTGTTGTCTCTTGTTCACACAGGCATCCTCCAGGGAGTCTTTCCAGTTAGATGCAGGAGCAAAGATGGTGCAGTACCAGATTGCATCTTCTTGTTCTCCACCTGAGATCTCTACAGCCTGGGTAGTCCCACAGGCTCTTATCTTTTAGGCAGCTCACAGAGGTCCATCAGGGAGAAACACTGGTCTATTACACTTATGGGTATAATAACAGGGTGGACCAAAAGAGTGGTCTTTGGAGGTTATCAATTGACCACGTACGTTTCTCGCATTTTTATTGTTAATTGGATTTTGCAGTTTCTTGTCAGCCTACGTGATGGTAGTGGCTTGTTGACCTATAAAGACTTCAAAGAAGGAAGTATGAGTGGGGAATTAAGGAAGAGTAGAATTCATTGAGTATGTAAGTAGAAGGCGGTTCACAGTAACTTGTAGCCCTAGAGAACTGAATGTGGAAAACCAAAGAGGAGGAATGAGCAAAGTGGCAACATAGGAAGCATTTTGTAGGCCAGATCCAGTTCAGAGACTGGGCATTATTCTGTAACGTGTCACTCTCTGGAACTGGTGACCTTTGAGAGAGTATCTGCTACAAATGCACGTGTTCACACCACACATACACACTGTGAGGTCCATCTCAGGGAACTTGCAAAAGATCCATGTTACACAAAGATGATAAAGGTAAAAAAGAGGTCCATGTAGGAATGGATTGTGGGGTAAGTGTCTGGACAGGCCTCCTTCCCTCATGGATGGCTTTTTTCTGTCCTTCCCCCAGGGAACAGCCCCTGGCCAAGGCTGGTCCCTACAGGATATGCATATTCCCTATTTCAAGTCATGGGATTAACCAGTAGGGATGCAGGTAACCAAGCAACCTAAAGAGCACGCAGTTGTCACTTTTAATCAATGTGATTATAAACACTGTATAGGAATTTGAATAATTGCTTGATTATAAAACGGTTTGCTACACTGTCCCGAGGCACAGATTCATCATCACCAACCCACTGCCATTGGTGACCCTTCAAAAGTGTAATAAACCAGTATCTCTCTCTGCTGAACCCTTAGATAAACATTTGGCACAAGCCCTTTACAATTTGGGCCTACCACATTATACACACACACACACACACACACACACACACACACACACACTTTTTTTTGAGATTGGGAATAAAGATGAATAGCAAGAGCCCATAGATATTCTGCAGGTGCTGAGAGGAACAGTTTTCTGCTGTTGATGTGTTTCAGAGAAATATGAAACTTTCATTTATTAGCAGAAATTGTCTTTGAGAGGATGTCATTTTGTGGACTTTGTTGTCTCTTTTAAAGTGTAATGGGTCATGGATTTTGAAAGGCCTGGATTCGTGGAAAGAGTACTTGTGGTCCTTGACAGTACTGCTCTGTTTAAGAAAGCTTCCATGTAGGTGTGCCTTTCCCTCAGCCGTAATCCTTGCCTCTGTTCCCACTTATTTTTGTGTACTTGACCTTGAGTGAAAGTTATTTAATGCTTCAGGCTGTCACTGAGAGAGGTAGTTCACATCAGAATTTTCCTGAAAGTACCTATCCCACTAACATTCAACAACTTTAGACCTCCAATCTGGAGCCCTGAGTAACCCTCAGGAGGTTACATGAATACTGATCAAACTATTGAGGTGTGGCCTTTACAGTATTTTATACCAATGTATTTGTCAGACTTACTTTGTTGAGTACTTTGCTGAGTTACAGTGTTGAGTTAGGCTTAGTGTTCGCTTGTCTTGGAAAGCTTTTTGTCCTTGCCCTGGGTTATGCCATCGGAAACCTAGCAGACTGAGGGAGGGTATGAGAGGTAACGGATGAGAAATCTTACCCTTTTCTTGCCTGCCACCAGGCCTGAAGGTACAAATCTGGCAAGCACACATGGCTCCCTGGCATTAAGAAAACCTTGTGGAAAATGGAGTTAAAATTCCTCTGCTGACAGGAAATTAATCAAGGCCGAACATAGTAGACAAAGACACAAATGAGACTACTTTGTTCCATCACTGAGGAGTGTTTTATTATCATGTAAATGAGATTAAATGCACAGTGACTGGTAGAGGTTGAGGGGAGTAGAGAGAAGTGAAAGAGGTGAACAGGTTCCTCAGGATTTAAACTCTGGCTACAAAATGTTTTTGTAACATCTGCTGCCTCTTAGTCCATCACACTGTGAACAAGGTAAGCACCTCGGCCTCTTGTCTTGCTGCTAGGCAGTCTCCCTAACAGTGTGTTACATCCTCATCTGATCACCCCTGACACTTATAGATCACCCACCGTGAACCCAGCCATGTGCCAGTGCTAGGTTAAATAATGAAAACACCTAGTCTCTGCCTTCCAGGAACTTACAGTCTGTGAGGAAGAGATACTGGAAAGCATTGAATTAGCAGGTAATACGTGGTGTCATACCATTTAGAATTGCTTGGTTGTAAGGAATTATTCGTCTGTGAGGAAAGGATATTGGAAAGATTATTAGAAAGGATATTGGTAATATTAAAAGATATTGGACAGATTATTATCGACCTGTGAGCAAAGGATATTGGAAAGCATCAAGTTTGCAGGTAACCTAGCCAAATAAGACATGGTGTCATACCACTTAGGATTATTTGGTTGAGAAGTAGCTGAAACAAACCCTGGCAAAACTTCAGCAAAAAAAGTGTGAATGGGTAAAAGGGAAATTGAAAAGCCATAAAGGAACTTGGGAAGGAAGCTCTGGGGACATAGGTAGCAGGAACTGAGGGATACTCTCTTCAGGGCTATCAATGAATCAGCTCCATGCAACCTTGGGTTCATTCGCTCAAGATGCAAATTCCCAAAGAAGGTATCTGATGTATCTAGCTTGGGCCACTCACCCATTTTGTGGTTGCAGGAAAGCAAGGTGCTTGGATTGTCCCACAAAGGCTGTGTGCAGCAGCAGAGGGACCATGTCCCCAAGAGAGAAGGAGTGCCAGGAAGGCAAGGCTCTGACGTCTACAAGGACTGTTGTAAAATGTAGCTGTCGATGTGTTTTCCAAGATTGCCAGTCTATGAGTTGGTGTGTGTTTTATTCAGGGCATGCTCATTGCTATGGTTTTAATGATTTGAGGCCATAAAACTTAGACTCACCCACTCATCGGCACTTTGGTCCTGTTCTCTTGTTCCCAGTGTGAGCAGTCCCACCTCATGAGAGAGCATGAGGACGTCCAGGAGCGAACGACCCTGCGGTATGAGGAGCGCATCACAGAGCTACACAGTGTCATTGCAGAGCTCAACAAGAAGATAGACCGTCTGCAGGGCGCCACCATCAGGTACACAGGCTGTTTACCCTGCCCTCTCTGTCTTGGAGTTGAAGTAGCCCCATATGTATTATGTGACGTTTTCTTTGTAAGGAAGACTTATACAGCTTATAAAATACTTTCTCTTTGCTTTGCTAGCCATGTGCTTTCACCTCTATCACTCTATTCTGATTCTGATCCTCACAATAGCCCTGTAAGGCAGACAGTGTGGGACTGGTGATCCACAGCTTATAGCTAAGGGTCTGGAATCAGAAGTTGAGTGAAATGTGTTACTAATGAGTCCTAAATGGAGCCCATTCTGTCTTAGAGACCAGCATCCCCACCACCCCTTTTATTCACCAGGTCTACTCTAGATGTGCAAACTGTGTGCCTCCTTGGAGATTTTGAAAGGTTTATAAATGTAGCTTATAACTAAGCATTATGTAGGCTTCTAGATAATCTGATTATATTTTAAGCTTACCTCAAATTGCTCTACCCACATTGACTTATCCTCTTACCAGATTCCTGAGTCAAAGGGCAAGATTTGACCCATTCTTTTAGTAGTGAAAAAAACCGGGGCTTAAAAGTAGTAAGTCACACTTGCAGTTACATTTAGCAGAGATTAGAGATGGAATCAGAACCTGGAATAGCTCCTCCTTTGTTTAATCTTCTTTTTGTAAAAGTGGATGGTAAGGATTCTGCCTTCCTTGGTCATTAATCAATTGGCCCTCAAGTCTCCTGCATGCAATGCTTAGTTGGTTGTGTCTACCCTGTTGTTCAGAGGAGGGGTTTGCTTTAAGTGACTTAGCCAAGGATGAGAACTTTTTTTATCTTCCTGGCAGTGCTCAGGGAACAGCCTGAGGAAAGCAAATGGTTGGCACCTACCTTTTTGGAAAAAGAGTGCTTTGTTCCCTGGATGCTTATATGAGCCACAGTTAAAACAGTTTTAGGGGCAGCTACTTTAAACTGTCCCTCTAGAAGTCAGAGAAAACTTTTGATGCATTTTGTTCCAACTCCAAGAGTCACTGTAATGATGGGGTTTCTTGATGAGGGCACTGATGGGCATCTGTTTTCTGGGCAAAATCATGGAAAACTTAGCACTGACTGGAGCCACAAAGTAAATTTCATATTCTAACTCAGAAGCTCAACGCTTTTAAATTGTAGCCTGGTATTCAGAATGATTGTAGGTTAGAAGTGCATGAGTGGAGAAGAATTTTCAGCCCCAAGAAATGATTATAGCAGATTTAAAGCAGCCTGACAGAGAGCATTGGCAAATTTGTAAGTTCTGTTAAAAACACGTTGAGCTTTTGAACACTTGAAAAAGTGAAAGCAAGTGGGCTCAGTGAGTTGTGAAAAAAATGAATCACCCATGACCTGGAAAACTCAGTTTCAGGATGTTTAAGTTGAATGTAATGGCCAGATTGCTTCACTTTATATTTTTATTTTGTGTGTGTGTGTGTTGGAGTCTCACTCTGTCACCCAGGCTGGAGTGTAGTGACACAAACACAGCTCACTGTAGCATTGGCCTCCTGGGCTCAGGCAGTCCTCCCACCTCAGCCTCCCAAGAATCTGGGACTACAGGCATATGCCATCAAACCCGGCTAATTTTTGCTGCATTTTAAAATACATGAGCTTCTTGATCATAAACATTTATTGCTACCTTTCATTTAAAGGAAGATTACAAACAGGTTCGGTGGCTCAGCCAGTCATCCCAGCGCTTTGGGAGGCTGAGGTGAGTGGATTACCTGAGCCCGCGGGTTCAAGACCTGCCTAGGCAACTTGGCGAGACCTCATCTCTATAATAAATCAAAAATTCGCTGGGCGTGGTAGCACACGCCTGTAGTTCCAGCTACTTGGAAGGCTGAGGTGGAAGGATCGCCGGTAGAGGCTGTGGTGGCTGGGAGTGGCCACTGCACTCCAGTCTGGGGTGACAGAGTGAGACTCCAACTCAAAAAAAAAAAAAAAAAAAAAGGAAGATTACATCTGTGGAGATGTCACATTAAATTCTGCCCATTTTCATTATGAAAATGAGCTGGCCCCTCTTTGAGGGAAGTCCTTGCAAGACTGGAAGACATCTAGACATGTGGATTGGTGAGATAAGACTTTCCTTGTCCTGAGCTCCTGAGTCTAAGGCATCTTCCCAGCCCTCAGGACTTCAGGAGGTTGGTTTTGCATCTGCATTAGTCAGAGTTCTCTAGAAAGACAGAGCCAATAGGACATAGAGATAGTTATGGAGCTATGAGAGAGGATTTATTAGGAGAATTGACTCACGAGATAATGGAGGCTGAAAAGTCCCACAACAGGCCATCTGTCAGCTGGAGCCTTGAGATGCTGGTAGGATGGCTCAGTCCAAGTCCACCAGCCTCAGAACCAGGGAAGCCAGTGGTGTAACTCACTGTCTAAAGTCAAAGGCCCGAGAACCTTGGGGGACTAGGGTCAAGTCCTGGAGTCCACATACTGAAGAGCCTAGATTTCTGATGTCTAAGGGCAAAAGAAGAAGGTTTCACCTCCAGGAGAGAGAGCGCGAATTCACCTTTGTTCTGCCTTTTTTGTTCTATCCAGACCCCCAGCCAATTGGATAGTTCCTACCCATACAGAAGGTGAATCTTCCCTGCTCAGTCCACCAACTCACAGACCAGTCTCCTCTGGAAATATCCTTATAGTCGCATCCATAAATATGCTTTCACAACTCTCTTAGGTATTCCTTAGTCCGGTTAAGTTGACATCCAAAATTAACCATCACAGTTTCAGCATCTAATATACTCTGATAGGCCCAGTGCTGTAGGAACTAGGCACCTTGGATGAGCTCTAACTGTACAAGTAAACCATATTGGTTAGGTACAATGCTGGTACTGTTATAAACTTCCTTATCACTTCAATCTGGCCTGAAATAAGAAATTATTGGAGAATCTAAATAATCACTAATAAGGGAATAGTTTATATAAGCTATAGTGTGTCCACACTTAAACAAAACTGAATTGCTTAAGGGAAGAAAATGACAATCTCATAGCTTTACCTTTTTATCTCAGGTCACAATCAAAGAACAAGGGACTTCCTAACTGCCCTAGAAGACTCTCCCATCTCTTATAGTCACAGGAATCTAATGTAGCCAGGAATCAGATCCTGCAGGTTGCTGAACTCATGCAGGTAAATTGAATTCATAGCCACATAGATCACTGAAGTGAAGATTAAGCATTGGTAGGAAAAGATGAAAAGGTGAGAATTTGAACGGGAACATTTGGGAAGATTCAAATGAATTCAAATGTACTTCCTAAAAACTACAAATCTCTCTGAGCTTCCCTTCCTACAGAAGCAGTTTTCCCTCCCCATCTAATAAAGCTAGTCCTACTTTGCTTGGAGAGTCTAACAGTCTCATTTCAGGTATGGGGTGGCAGATATATTCATGTCCCATTTCTATTTCCTTCAGCTTTATTTTTAGGCCTAAACATAGTCAAATTTTATGTCCCAACGGGCTAAAAAAAATCCTGCCTGGGAGGATATAGCTAAAATACCAAAAGGTTTGAAGATTCTTTTAATTTATATTTACAGAAACTTGAATATTTGTGAGATTAGAACCTAAGGGTTCTAGACCAGGGAGTAAGGAATGCAGTGTTGGGTTGGTGATGAATTTTTTTGATATGGCTGTTCCTGCAAGAGATTCTGGATTCAGGGTGTTAGCTTCAGCAGTGTGTGATTAACAGAAAAACTAGGCTCAACAGAAGACCCTATATTAAATGTTGTCAAAATGCTGCAGCTTTCCTAGTATATGTAGAAAAAGTTCAGAGGCCTAAGAAATCGAGAATTTGGGGTGGGAGATGATATTATTCAAATGGAGTTTTTGGTCAACAGGGCCACAGTAATTGTAGTGACTAATTAATCATAAGGCCTCTATAACTGATATAAATGGGCAGCTTGCTAAAGTTTTACTTGATCTTTGTAGTCAAAAAAACTCTAGTTTGGTAAACAGACTTGACATCACAATAGAGAATCATGACCTCTTATCCAATTTCCTTACCTGACCCAGCTCATAGACTCAGAGCCCTCTGGATGAAGGAGATAAAATATATATAATTCCATGCCAAGAGTAGGTATAATCTTCTTTCTACCCTTTCCAAAGAGAACTGTAGCCACTTATAAGGGAGAATTTGCAGTGCGGAAAAGAGATAACCATATTCTGGAGTGATTATTGGACACTAAATTTGAGCTAATGATAGTCCCTGAAGATTCAAAATACCTGTAGTATACAAGTCAGAGTGGGGACTTATGAAGGTGTATTATCAGCTTGGGCTGCTATAACAAAATACCATGGATTAGGTAGCTTAAACAACAGTAATTTCTTTCTCACAGTTCTGGAGGCTGAGAAAGCCAAGATCAAGACACCAGCTAATTCTGCTCCCCATTGAAGGCTTACTTCCCAGCTTGAAGATGGCCACCTTCTTATTGTGACCTCACATGAAGAGAAGAGAGAAAGAGGAAACAAGTTCTCTGATATATCTTCTTATGAGGGCACTAGTCCCATCATGAGGATTCTACCCCGTGACCCCATCTAAACTTCCCAAAGACCTCATCTCCAAATACCATCACACTGGGGCTTAGGTCTTCAACATAAGAATTTTGATGGGATACAATTTAGTCCATAGCAGACAGTCAGGTGACAGGTAGCATTATATCCTGAATCCATAGTTAAGGCACTGAGAGATAACCTTTTTCATTGCCCTGGAGATATAGTAAATGCTCCCAACTAGCAACAGCATACAGTATTGCATTTTTTTGATTCAGGGAGCAAAAAGGAAAGTAAAAATGGCCCTTCTAATTCATACACCTAAAAACCTACATTTGAAAATTATTGCTGGCCAGGCATGGTGGCTCAAGCCTGTAATCCCAGCATTCTGGAAGGCTGAGATGAGAGGATTGCCTGAGCCCACAGGTTCGAGACTGGCCTGGGCAAATTGGCAAGACCTCATCTCTACAATAAATCAAAAAATTAGCCAGGTGTGGTAGCATGCGCCTGTAGTTCCGGCTACTTGGAAGGC